TATACATATTTTTACAGAAGCCATAGATTTGTTTACAAATTAAAAAAAAGAAAATGCATTACACCCTAGACCTCCATGTTTTGACAGATTTATTATAACAATCCGCGCTTTCCTTCAGCTTATGGAAAGCGAAAAGTCGAAATACATCCTCACCTCCAGACTTTCTCAAGATCCTCTGGAAAATCTGTTTTCTTCTATAAGACAGAGAGGAGGATTTAACAGAAACCCTACAGTGAGAATCATCCGCTCAACACTTAAAATACTAACCCTTCAGCAGATTTTGGACCCACCTAAAACCACTTCGTATGAACCCGACTATGACAAATTACTGCAAATTGATGAACCCGCAAGTGAAGAAAACAGTTCCACTTTAAATCAAGAAGATGTTGAAGCAAACTCCATTACTTCGACAAATGATTCAATGACAAGTGACGAACCATCTTTGGCGAGGAATCCGGGGTTACACGACGCTGTGACGCTGGAGGAATGCTCCCAGGTTTATTTTTCTGGTTACCTAGTTCAAAAGTATAACAATAAGTTTAAGTGTAATGATTGTTTCCAGATTATGTCCAACGCAGATTCCACCCTTACAAGTCGGAAAGAACTACTAATTCTTAATAGAACCTTTTCAAATGTCAAAGTCGACCACACAACTGGACAAGTGTCTCTATCAGATGCAATCCTATATGTAACCAGCGTCGCATTCAAAGTATACAAGAGACTTTACAGAAAGATTGCACACAAAAAGGGAATCATTGGCCGCCTCATGAAAGTGTCAGATAAAACCATCATATGTGACTCTATCGTCTGCTCAAGATGTTCAAACAACTCCAAGTACATTTTGAAACTTTTGTTTAAAGTCCTTTTGTTCAAACAATGTAAGTGGGTTTCAAGCAATTTTAAACAGTTGTCCACTGAAAAGTTGAAGATATTGAAGCACAGTTAAAAATAGTCTTTTATCGTTCAAACCCGTAAGTGTTTTGTTACTGTGGGCATAAAGGATCGTAATGAAGGGTTTTCAATTGTTTAGCTTTAAAGTGTTTGCTGTTGAAACAAAAGTTTGTGGTATATCATTTTGAATATGTTTTTTTGTAAACACTACTTTTCTTTTACATACTATTATTGTGTTATATGCATATCGTGTTTATACAAATTATAAGTGTTTTATCATTTATCAAATGTCCCATGTTGCTTGCTAAACGTATCATGAACACCTTGTATGTTTCATTGTAATACAAAAATAATTTCATTTATTAGTTAGTATAACACATGAAATATGTCATTGTAATCTTGTCTGAAATGTACGCCAATTTCAATTTTAGAATTTAAAGTTTCGTAAATTCCTGAACGAAATTAATGACGTAATTTTTAAATATCTATCAATAGGTTATGCTTGACGTCTAAGTGAAAACTAATGTTTTGTTAACCATATAGTCTAATGCTGTACTTAAATGTTTGAATGTACCGTTGTTATTTTTTTTTTATTATATTACAATATTTTTTATTATGTTAAATATGTTAACTGTGTATAATGATTGTTGGTATGATTCTCTAAGTAATTTTTAAACTCACATTTTCCATTAACAACCTTTAATAATAACGAGTATGCAATTTTTCGATGATGATTTATGACTACGTTTTTAATAAATTTTACAGTATTTCTATGGACAAAAGTGACGGTATGTGTTAATATTTATATGTGTAATTAGTTTTTGTGTATAAACTGTGTATATTATACTTATGATTTTCACACTATTTTTTGGGTTTTTTTGCAGGATTATTGCTACAGTTTAAATATTGTCTTACCAGGAAATTGTTTTGATTAGGCACTTGTAAAACTATTACTATCTCGAATATTATATTTTGTCGGTTTATATTGTAACATATTTCAATTTAATAATCAAAGTTTTTAAATTATTTAGCTATTTACATTTTTGACGTCACTGTACTTTTATTAACTGTAGTGTGGTACTCACGGAGAAAGAGGGTTACTCAAATATGTGGTAAAAAATATAAAGTTACATTGATGTAGAATTTCACTTAAACTATTTACTGTACTGTATAAATTAAAACAAATGCTTGTAGAGAGAATTTATTGTCTAATTATAACCTTATGATTTTACCACTAAACATAAGAGCTAAGTCATAACATTATTTTTGCATTTTTTCCAGCAAGGTGAATAATGATTGTTTTATTTTCAAGATTCAGTTAAACGCCTGCCTATGCTTAGATGAATCCAGTTAACCGAACTGTGATAAATAATGCAAGTATTGCCATTAGACTAAAATATTAAATGCAGAGTCAACATTAAAATAGGACTCAATTTTATGTTATCCGTGTCAGTGATGTCATAACATGTTATTTCTCTTCTATTCAAATATGTCAAAAGACTAATTTTACTTATAATTAAAAGTTATCCTTAAAATAAATTTAAAAATGAAATTTAAAAAATTCCCAAAAGAAACACATCTAAAAAATATTTCTAAACGAATAATGGCTCATTTTCGGTAATTTCATAAATACATTTAGTTAATCATCAACAGAGTTTTGTGTAGGTCTTAGGTTATTTATAACGATCAACGTCATGAAAGATATCATGGTAAGTGACTAGTAGTGTAAATAGATGTACAATGTAATTCCCATCATACATCTCTAACCCAAATTTCATGAAAATCAGACCAAAATTACTAAAGTTATCGCATTCACGGTCCAATCAGAGATGTATACTGGGTGTCCCAAATGTAAGTACAAACAATTCAAGAATGTTGTCAATGGATAAAAAAATCAAATAAAACATAAGCATATTCAAAATGTAGAGTCTACTGTTTGTTCGGATAGGGCCACTTGTAATATTTTAGCACAAGTCATAAACACCGTCCTTCTGCGAAAGGACAGGCACTTCCTCACCAGTTCGTGGAATTGTTGTAACTCTACAGCCTGCACCTCGCCTCGCTCCAATGAGCGGCGGGCCTAATCTAGGGCGAGGGATGTGTCTTTTGTCAAGAGCAGGCAGATCCCTCCACGTATTTCACTTGTCAATTCCATTTATAGTTACAACCGCATTCGTTTCGTTATAGCAATTTATTAATCAGTTTCATTTATACAGTCCACTCTAATGGGATTTTTTAATAATTTCTACATCAATAAGGTCACAGTTAATTTCAAAGTGTAAGTTTTTATTATTACCAAAACATTGGCGCATCACGTATAGGAAATTATACATTATACACCACGTACGAACATTATAATTTAGCATTTATAACTTCCTATTAAACTACATCAAGTTAAAAAGATCTTATAACTAATAGTTAAGATATCAAAATTTTTTTCGCGAAATAAGGCGAAACCTATCAGGAAGTTTGTTCCAGTTCTTAGTTTAGTAAGTCAGCAGATCTCCTAAGGCAAATCTGATGGAAATTAGAAGCAACAACTTAAAACTTAGTGCGCCATATAGGCTAAGGATGAAATATCTACCTCGGATTTGCGTCATTGTATTTCTTTTGACAAGCTCTTCAAAATAAGGGGTCACTCAATAGGGGTTGCTATTTGAAAAAAAAGTCACCCCCACCCCATACCCTGTTAGGGGGGTTAAAAAATATTTTTGATATAAAAAATTACGGAACCGTTGTTAACAGCCAACGTCACTAACAGAATATTTCTATCTATTTCGGTTTAAAAAATACATATTTCTTTCAAGACTTTATTTACACACTGTATATAAATTTGAACGGTTGGTGTTTTTTTGCCCCTAGGGACCTTAAAACGAAAAATAAATCGGTCCCGGGTCCAGGTATTACGATGAGTACTACGGTAATAGCTTATTCTATATGGGAAATTCGCTAAAACACCGCTATTTTGAAACAGGATCATATGTGTAAATGATTATTTTTACTTAAATACATTATGACGTATTAAAACTGTATACCAAGTTTCATAAAGATATCTTAAATAGTTTTCGAGTAATATCTCATTCAAAGCGCGTTCATTCAAATTCAAATAGAATCCCACGGCGCCACTCGAGGAGGAAACGCTTCGCGTCTTCCGCTACAGTGGCGCGGCAATACAGCCGCATCATGAAACAGCGCCTAGCGCAGATGCAGTTGACCGTCTGCATTAGAGTATTATATTGTCTGTGGCCTGAGGCTCTGAGACGCCGTCTCTGGGGTCGAGAGAGTTCTGCGCTTTTAAAAGAAAGCAGTTAGAATAGTAGTTGGTGCTGATTAATTGCTTCATTGTAGACAAAAACATATTTTATTTGTAGCTAAAAACATAATGACGGTTTGTAACATTTATATATTTTTCAGTCTTTGAACAAAATCAAGAAGGAGTGGGGCTCCCTTGAGCTAAGAGGTTATATCCATTCCTACAATACACGTAGGAAAAGTGATCTGAATTTACTATTTGATAAGTTACGTAAGGTTTAAATGTCAAATAATGTTCTTAGTTATAAGTTCCTTAATAAACTTCCTTTTGTAGCTCGGAACCTGCCAGGCCCAAAATCGAGGTAAGGAGTCGAGGGGCTTTTGGCAAACCCTTTGTACAGGGTAAAAGGAGTGTTTGACATAAAATAAGCCTATGTAAGTAGGTTTTTAATTTTTAAACGGAGTGAAGTGTGCTGTTTTTCCCCTCTTTCATTTAATTCTCAGCCTTGAGAGTTCCAGGCAACTGTTTATATTGGTAATAAACCATGCACTTTTTCTTGTTTTAAGTATGACGTTTTCCAGTAATGTATTCATGCAATTTGTGGAAATCAAGTTAATTTATTCTTGATTCTTGACTCGACTGTAAAATATAACTGCGAAACGCCCCCACGTATCTGATAATTGAATTCTTTATTATTTATTTTTTATCAAATTATACGTAAATTAACTTGTGGTAGTTGATTAACTAGAAGGTTAACCCGACATTAAGGTCGTAGAAATGGCATCTAACACTCAACATACATAAAGGAATCCCATAAAGTTTACAAAACCTTTAAAACTATAAACAGATTACTTACCTTGTACTTAGCTTCGTCCCCTGAAATGGAGTAGAAAACAGCAAGTTTTTTGTCTTTGTGGTTTTCAAGCCTGTTTACATAGTCTGACTAAAACACAAACGAAAAATTCTTTCACTATTATATTTATAAACTTATGGAAAATAATGGTTACATTTAAACAAAGAACATAATGAATTTTGAAAGTGGAGTATTTTGTGTGCTCTAAGTGATTATACAGGGTGGAACGAAGTTAGTGTTAAAAATGTGTATGTGTTAAACTTAAGAAAATAAGTTTTACTAACAGAATGGCACCAGTTGAAGGTTCCATACCCTCAAAGGTAGGCAGCAACATACAAAATAAGATTATGTTAAATATTTGTATTTGTTTATATAAATAACCATAAGTGCACTCAAGATTGATTTTATTTCAACGTCCTAGTAATTTTCGGAGTCCTCATTAAACTTCCAATAATAATAGTACAAAATGACTATGGTATTTGTATAATGTAGTAGATGATATAGAAAATATAGGGTCTTCCATAGGAAAAATCAAAGTTTGTGGCCATATTGGAAAAATGGCAGCTAAAATTATTTTTCCAACTTGACCAAAAGGTTTAAGATAAAAAGCCAAGTCAGTAGGCCTAACAATTTAACATTTTTATATCTCTTATAACACTTGAATAAAACAGCTGGCACACTTTTATCAATTACCCTGTATAATAATGTTTTTATTTCCACAAGTGCTTTCGAAAACAATTTTTTCATCTCACAGCCTGAAGATGAAAACATAGTTTTTAGAAAACGCTTGTGGACAAAAAAAAATTATATACTGGCCTTTTGAACCTTAAAATTTAGTATTACATTACATTTTTTGACAATATCTCGAACATAAGTTATCAAAACGCAGGGAAAAATTTATCAGTAACAGAATTTGAACCAAGCAAAAAATATTCATTAAAGGTGAGTGTAAGTACATAGCCACTACGAAAAATATCCTAATAATCTACTTAACAAAATGCAAATCCAAGAAAACCAAATACTGTATATGAAAAAATATTATACGGTTAATCCAGAGAAAATAACATCTCATTAAACCTGTGCTACAAAAGAAAATTCCAAAACTATATGTTGATTTAATTATTTATTTCTTGTTTTACCCCTGCTTCCTAACGGAATGAGAATACGGGAAAAATAAGTTAATGTGAGTCTCTAAATATACTATAAAAATGTTACATGCACACAAATGCTACATTTTATTACACACACGCCTACCTACCATGCAAATTATAAAGGCAAATTCCAATCGTACTTATTGCTTATTTTATGAAAATATATTTTGTATCCTATACTCTTATATGAGAAATGTCTGCTTGTATGTATGTATGCTTGCTTGCTATGAAAATCTTGGAATCACAAAAAATTTCCTTCAATTGTAAATAATTTATTTATGGCCTAAAAACGTGATTGGCAACAGCCACCACCTTAAAATTGGTAAATTGAAACATTGGTATTTTACCACACAACTCATTGGAAAATTTAAAAATTGAACATTGGCTTTATGGGTTGCCTAATAACTATTTTGCTTGAAAAAAATAACAATGAAAACGTAAACAAAATACTTGAAACATGTGTTTATAACAAACCATCAACAGTATGATAGCAAATTACAATATACAGTACAAAGAGAAAAACATCAATTGTTAGTAGTGAGCAAAGATGGAACATACCTGAAAATTTTCCTTTTTTCCAAATATTGTCTCATTATAAATTGAAGGAACAAAAAACACATTTTCACCCTTTTTTATAGATATGGACAAACCATGTTTTGAATTACAAAGGAAAATCTGATAAAAGTTCTTACGTTTGGCCTGCTGTGTTTGACCCATACAATTAGAATTCAACCATTTATCCAAAGATTCCCTATATCATTTAGTAAAAAAAGCCAATCTCAAGTTTTGTAAAAAGTCTCAACTGTACCGATTTTGTTGAAATACACAACAAATTAATATGACGAGTGGACGTGAAGAACCGGTCAGCTGATTAAACAATAGACGACGATACCCATAGTGCACTACGAGGAGTGGGGAGGAAATTAGCCATCCAGGGATCGGTCTTCATCTACCAGTTCGTTCCCCGCCTCCTCCATGATTAGGTGAGCAAAAGTTCGTTTCATGCAAATTAAATTCATTCGCGGTGTTGGTTGGTCAAATTTTATTTTCGTTAAAATCGTTAAGCCTATATCCCGAAGGGATATAATTGCAGTGCGAGTTGAAAATAAAATCAGTTTTGTGAAACAAGTGTTGTAAATTTGCTTTATCGGCCAGCACAAACATTCAGTCATTACATTACATTATTGTTAAAGTTACATGCATTTATTGACTAAACATTGAGAAAACATCAAATTGTAAATTGCTTTATTTTATTGGTTATTCTGCACAATAAATTGAATTGTTATATATTTTCATAGTTTTCAATAACCTGGGTATTTCTTTTTAGCAATACTATTCATTCAAAAGGAGTTTGGTATATTATAGTAAACAACAGGCCACTACAAAAGATTCACATTGAAGTGCAACACTAACGTTAGTGTAGTAGTGAGCAAAGTAAATTCAGTGTACGTTTAAGATTTGTTTTCAGCTTGTAAGAACTTCAAACAGTATCAGGGACGTCCCCTAAGGATCTCTGGGAATAATTTTATTATATAGGGCCCACTCAATTTTTATTTAACATCAATCTTCCACTGCCAAAGCTCTGTTGATTAAATATTGTTCACACAGTTCTACCAAGCTAGGGGCAATCAAGATTTGTGAAGAATTGATTATTGAGAGTATTGAAAAGAGAGTAATATATATTTCAATACATATTTAAATATATGAGTCAGAAGACAACTAACAAAGCCCTGTTTGGATTTACAATATTTTTTGAGAATTTAATACTCACATCTGATGTCACTTTTTTCCCCACCACTTCAATCTGAAAAATATAAGTAGAAAAAATTAATAGAATTGATAATTGATGTCTATCAATCTTTTCAGACACAAGAGGTAGTACAATACAAACATTTGATGACAATTTGGAAACATGTTCCTCGAAATGTATATATTTACTAGATGTTCTGCCCGTGCTTTGCAACAGGGCAAGAATGCTTAAGAGAATAATGTTGGCCTCGAAATCTACTGTAAATACAGTTACACACTTTTACCATGCGAATTATACAGGCAAATCTCAATCGTACTTATTGAATTTAGCGAATTTCCCTACAGGGAAGTAGCTATTACCGTAGGTCTCATGGTAAGACTTAGGCCCGGGACCGATTTACTTTTTCATTTTGATGTCCCCAGAGGCCAAAAACACCATTCGTTAAAATTTTTATATATGTATATATATGTATATATATATATAGATATATAGATATATATATAGATTTATATATATATATGTGTGTCCGTGAACACGATAACTTGAGTAATTTTTATCCGATTTTGATGAAATTTGGTTTGAATGTATTGAATATATTGTTTGAATGAATATATTTGCCAAGTTTGATCAAAAGATATCCATAAACAAGCAAACTACAACATTTTACAATATTCTCCATAAGAATAACATGGGAATTCCCATCCCGCCTTGGCGGGATAAACTTGAATGAGTTCGCGATCCAGCATGATCGGGCCATGGGAACAGGGTTTTATGGGGGGTTTTATGGGGTAAAAATTGGGTTTTCTCACTTTTGACCCTCAAAACACAAAATTTCCCAATTTTTCTCTAAACCTCCTTAAAGATCTTAAAAAAACAAACAATTCAGTAATTAATTTTTTTTTTAATTACCACTGCGTCGCCGATGACCAGATGATCTGGATAGGCTGTGTCAATTCATGTCTAGGCTATCTTGGATTGCGGATGGCTCCTCTCCAAGGTTCCCTCATAAATTCGTCTGTGTCAAATAGGGGGTCCACCAGGAGTCTCTTACCAATCTTTTAAACAGGGCATTGTTCGCCTGCTTTACTTCAATTGGGAGTCTATTGAAAAGTCTCACTGCCATAACTGGGAAGCTGTTCAGTGACTTAGCCAGTCTGCATCTTGGCACATCCAGATCGATAGCTCCTCTAGTGTTGTGCTGATGTACTGCACCACGCTGTATAAAGTCACCAATGTTCTCCTTAACGTAGCAGACGGAGTCAAGTACATATTGACTAAAGATGGTAAGAATGTTAAGAGAGGAGAACAGAGGCTTACTGTGGTCTCGACGGCCAGATGAAGTCAAAAGCCTCACTGCTTTCTTCTGGAGCCGCAGAATCTTCTGACTCTTTGGACAGTGTCCCCATAATAACAACCCATATGAGATATGACTGTGGAACAGGGCGAAATAGGCCGATACCAAAAAATCCACTGGCACTGATTTTTTCAATTTCCTTAGCAAAAAGAGGACTCTAGAAAGCCTATGGCAGACCTGAGTTGCGTGTTCACCCCACGACATCTTCGGATCAATCCAGAAGCCAAGGAGCTTCAAGGGGTTCCCAGCATCAGTCGTCTTCAGAGTGCAAATGAGTCGCTGAGTCTTATCATCGTTGAGCTGCAACTTGTTGCTCACAAACCAATTCTTGGCCTCGTCAAGTAATCTGTCTGAGTCCAGACGTATTTGATCTATGTCCTTTCCCCTTGCCAGCAGGGTAGTGTCATCCGCATATAAAAGTGAGCGGCCCTGAAGATCTAAATCGTTGACAAGAATGACGAAGAGAAGGGGACCAAGCACAGACCCTTGAGGAACCCCATGTCGCAAACTAAGCTCTTCTGATCGAGCACCCTCAACTTCCACTACCTGCTTCCTGTTTCTCAGATACGATTGCAAGGTGTTAAGAGCAATCCCCGTTATTCCATAATGTTTGAGTTTACTAACAAGTATCTCGTGAGAAACGCAGTCGAAGGCTTTGCTTAGATCACACAACACCAGTCCCAGAGAGTCGCCAGCCTCAAAGGCCTCCATAACCTGACCAACTAATGATCGCACAGCCGATACAGTTGATCGCCCCTTGCGGAAACCATGTTGGGCACTTAGTATTATATCGTTCCCTTCAAAGTGAGTCACCAGTTGTTCGTTGAGAATTGACTCTATGATTTTACCAAAGGCTGGAACCAAGGCTACAGGCCTGTAGTTGGTCGAAAGTTGGGGGTCACCTTTCTTAAAAATTGGCACTGCCCTAGATATCTTTAACTCGTCCGGGAATACTCCCTTACTTAAGCATGAATTTATGAGCCAGGCCAAAGGAAAAGAGATCACATCAATGACTGACTTGAGTAGGTGGCAGGACACACCATAAACATCAGGACTATGAGAGTTTTTGTAGCCCTTAACTATTTGGCAGATTTTTTCCGGAGTAACCAGCCTCCAGGTTGACATAGTAGGTATTTGTCTCGACCGATTTCCAGCTCTTAATAAGGATGAGCTATCAAGAGTTTGAGAAGTGAGGTTAATATTGTCAACAATCTCATTAATGTTCTGAATAAAGAATTTGTTAAACTCATCAGGGCTAGCATTAGACTTAGGCTTAGCAGAATTTCTATGTTGGTTAATTAGTGCCCAGGCAGCCTTCTGGGGGTTTTGAGCCATCTCAATAGACCTTGCATTGAAATTTCTTTTAGCTTTGTCAACCATGTTACGGTAATATCGATTTATTCTTAAATATATTGTTTTCCAATGAGCAAACTCCTCATTAGATGATGCTGAATTCATCAAGTCCCTGTACAGAACCACATACATTTTAATCCTATGCAGGTCATCTGTATACCATGCTTTATGAGACGCAATCCTCCTAGGCTTAGCTTTGTTTTCTACACTTTTGGTGTAATTTACACTGGGGAAAATTTCATTAAAAATTCTATCAAATATTTCAAGAAATGCAGAGAATGCTTCATGAGGCTGTAGGAATTCACAATACTGTACAAAGTTAACCCAATCAGTTAGCTCAAGAGCTGTCCTAAATCTATGGAAATCTATATCTTTTACCTTTCTATGACTAAAGATATAATTTCTATGCCAAGAAACTGGATTTGGACTCACCGAGGTTGGACCGGAGTTTACCCTAGAGACAACGGCATCGTGGTCCGCTACCATGGCATCCACTACCTCAATGCTGTAGTCCCACACGTTCAGACTGGTAGCCATGGTGTCCAGGCAGGCAGTCCCCCTAGTTGGCAGACGGTTCCCAATAAAAAGTCCGCAGCTCAACAGCAGATCAGTGAAGACACGCTCTTCCTCTGATTGTTCTTCCAGGTGGATGTTAAGGTCACCACACAGTATAGTTTTGTAGTCAGTTTGACAGATACACAAGACAGTTCTCAAGAGACTCAAAAAAAACTTCCAAGTTCCCATCAGGGGAACGGTAAACTGATAAAATAGTTAGGGATAACTCGGGAATACTGATGCCGCACACCTCTAGGCATAGTTCTACACAGAATCTATTCAAATCTATAGTTTTAATGGATTTAGTCAGATGTTCCGAAACGTAAATTGCACTACCTCCATGTCCTACGTTACTTCTGCAAAAAATTGAAGCAAGCGTCATATATTCTAGCTTTGAGTAAAATAAACTCTCGTCAATGTTCAGCCAATGCTCATAGATACAAAAAATGTCAGGCCTAACTTTGTTAATAAATAGAGATAGCACATTTAACTTAGTCCTAATACACTGTACATTTAAACCCACTACTTTTAAAATATTGTCCTCAGTGGTGGGAGGTGACAAACAAGTTCTTGAGTTTAGGCCTAGTTCTATGTTTCCGGGTTTTGACCCACCCTCCAAAATAAAAAACGCTTGAGGGTTATATTCTTCGGCCACATAGCACTGTCCATTACTTTGGCCATATAGGCAAAATCACAGCCCAATTTGAAACTATCGTTGGTCCCTTTAGTGGTCAATTTTTCTATCACAAACTCAACACCAGGGAAGACTTTGTCAACGAAACTACGGACGTCCTCCTCAGTTGTTCCTTTAACCAGTTTTCCGAGATGAAACCATGCCTTTTTAGCTCCCCTTAGACCGTTGTCCTCAGATGAACCCACCAGTATTTGATTCTTGTGTGCAGACGATGTTTTCTTAATGAAGTTCTTCCTTTTGACCGCTGCATCTACGCTATTCTTCACAGCAGACGCATAACTTGGTTTCTTCATAGCACCGTTCTCTGCATTTCGTACATTTGATGCAAGTCCTTGATCTTGATTTTGATTATGGACGGACGAGTTTCGTTTCCTCCTATTTCTATTTCCAACTCGTTTCCAGTTGATATCATTGCCATCATGATTACGTCCTCTACCCTGTTGATTTGACAAACCTTTTTCTTCTAAAGTCATGTTTTCTTCTTCTTCTTCCGAACTAATATCTTCGTCAGTTTGATGATGTAAGGTTTTATTGGATTCTTCTTCACTTTTTTCAGTGACGTCATTCGAATTCAAAGTTTCCGGTCGTCTGCCAACCTCGTTACTAATTAACCTCACTTTTTCAAATTTTAAGCTATCAAGTCTCTTAACTATATTAATATTGTCTTCAGTTAATTTTCTAACATATCAAAGTGTTATTGTACGGTTATTGGTTACGGAGAAGACTAAAAAATTTGTAAATTTAAAATTCCCATGTTATTCTTATGGAGAATATTGTAAAATGTTGTAGTTTGCTTGTTTATGGATATCTTTTGATCAAACTTGGCAAATATATTCATTTTCTACTAAGCAATAATTATTTTACTTAAAACACACTTTATTAGTTTCCTTGTAGCAGCAAACCTAGGTACTCGTTAAACCTAATGTTATTTTAATAGATCGATTTAAAATCAATTCAGCTAAATGGAAATTCGCTTAGACGGCAGGTTTGCTGCGGCGGGGGTATTTTTAATGAAAATCTCTTGTGTATTTTGCATTAAACTGTATGGCAGAATCAAAAGATTATCTCAGGGAAAAGTAACCAAACTATAAATTAAAACACATGTAACATCTGATGCATCTTCAATGCCATTTTACTTGTAAACATTTGTTAGTAAACATATCCAACGAATTTTTTTTAAATCCCTGATATGGGTACTTTTAAGATGGTCCCAGGGCTAAGCCCCGAAAATCATCACGAAATAATTGATTGTGTATAAACCTACTCTATGAAATTCTACTTGTATGACGTATGTACGACGTTTCGTGGCCATCGGTCCAGCGGTGTCTTAGTTTATCACTGCCAAATATACAAATATACAAACCAACATCCTCTTTTATAATTATAGATTTGTATAATGCTTTTGATTTCTTACGAGAATTAGTTATTCTTATGAAATTAACTGCAAGTAATAAATAAATACAAATTCTTTATTAGCAAGCGTTTCTCTGATACATATCAGTTCTTCAGAACAACTATTGAGATTGAGCTACATAAAACTAAGCATTGATATATTTTAATTACAGAATGCAACAGTTTTTAGTCTCTTGGGTATTAAATTGTACAATATAGGTCTGAAATAAGATAAACGTTTCTTTCCCAATTCCAAGGAGACTTTTGGCAAGTGAAGCCTCCCACCAAGACGTGTCCTACGTTGGATAGCCTCATGCCGGACAGAAAGCCTCTCGCAAAGATAGCTGGGCTCACGGAGAGTCAGTACCCTGTGAGTCATGCAGCACGTCAAAAACATGAACATGGGCTCCATGGGCAGCAGACTGGCTGCGTCACGGAAGGCGAATACATGATCATTTCATTAAGCAGAAAACATGTCCTATTCTTTAATCATTCTTTAGGAGAATAGGACTGCTAAGTTTTGAATCCACTCAATCCTGCATATGTCCTGGGAAACAGTAGTAAACTACGGAAAATACAGTGTCTGCATTAATTTAAGCTTTGCAGCCTCAGGCAGCCCAACTCTGAACCTGTACAGACCTCTCAGTCTTCCTATTGTATGTTGAGATTTTAATGTGTGGTATTATCTGAAAAAACATAAATATCCGTCAATATTGACGCCCAGAGTATTGGCTTTGACCCACACCACCAGACTCCTGCCATCAAGATTGATACTCAATACATTATTTATCAGGATATGTACTATGTTCATGCAGTATGCAGCACCGTGCATTTGTCTGGGTTAAGCCCATTAGAATGAAACCATTTGAAGATATTCTCCAGATCAGTGTTGATAATGTTGATGGCCTCCTTCATGGAAGCAGGCTCATATGACAAGTGCAACTGGGAATCATTTGCATACAAGTGTGCAGTACAATGTTTTACACCGCTGTGTAAAAGTACAGGCACAAAACAACTACCTTGAGGAACACCCACCAAATTAACGAGTAGTTCAGATGTCTCACTTCCCAATCTGGTAACCTGCAGTCGTCGATAAGGTAAGAACAATTGCTAAAACCCATATTTTCAATTTTTGCAATCAGCATACTATGGCCCATAGAACAAGTGAGCTATGTTTCCCTTTGTCCTTGGCATCAATCATGTCACAGAATAAATTGGTCAAAGCCGTACATGTGCTATGATTTAAAAAAAGATATTTTTTGTCTAATTGAATATTGTTTCTGAAACCAAATGCGGATGTGTTTGCTATTTTATATATCAGATTTAAAGATCAAATTTTTCTCTTCACTGCCAGCTAGTTATTCATCAATTGAGATATCTGGCCAATCACTATTCTCTCTAATATTTTAGATACTCTGGGAACAATTGATATTGGTCTAAGATCTTGTACCTTAGTTGGTGCATTAATTTTTGGAAATCGGCTTACAACACTTTGATTTTATACATTTGGGAATACTCCACTGATGAGTGACTCATTTACAAGATGTGCGATTGCTGCTATTGTAAAAGGAATCACAGCTTTTAACATTTCTATATATATACTCACTGCCCACAGCATTACTTTATTAGCATGACTTTATTCATTACTAGTCTTACAGATGCTTCGGTGGCAGCACTAAATCTGAATTCATTTCTTGTTTCATCTTGTTTATTAGTCATATTTAAATTTTCATTGATTCTTTTTAACTTTTATTCTGGGCCCCATTTTTTGTAAAATATTTATTAATACCATTATATTTGAAACAATATTTTTCATAATAACTTTTACATAAACATCGCAACTCTTTATACATTTCCAGAAATATTTGCTGTTGTTTGTTGTCGATAGTTTAAATTTAATCCGTTTCTAGTCTCATGTTACTGTTCTCATGCAAGAATCACTTCTTGATTTGCAATATCTATTTCTTAATTTATTTTACGAACGAACGTTTTTTAAACTAGCAAACACTACTCGTTTTTTTTTTACTTTTTAGAATTGAAAATATCTACTTTACAGCATTGTTTACTTACTTTTACGCATTGCAGTTTTACTTAAAGGACTGTAATGGACCAATGAGTTTAAGGATTAAGAAAAATTAAATTGTATAAAAGGACGAGGGTTTATGGCATGTGTTTGCCATAAACCCTCTGCCATATTTCTCGGGGTAGTTTAACATCAAGCATTTAATTAAAGTATGCGATAATATTAGACTTACCTCCCAAGATAATATTTTAGTTGTGCATGTCTGAAAAAATTTTATAACATATTAGTGATTAATTTTCCAACACATGTAACATTGAAAGAATAACAGTAATAAAAAATACATACACTAATATCCATACGTTTTAATGAAACACATTTGGATTTTAGTATGAGTATATTTTTTAAAGGCATTCTTTTTAGGTGTACAGGTAAAGTTTATAATAGGGGCCTAAGTGTTTGACTTAAGGTTTTCTCAAAAGTTCCTGATCATTTTTAGCTTTATATATAGATTATACTACTTCAGTCAAACAATTCCCGAAATGAATTTCTGTATACACTTAGCGCAATCGATAGCGAGAAATTCGACTTGCAGTCGCTGGTACGACTCCTGGGGAGGGTATTTCTGTAGTGCCTAGCTCACGAGCCATAGTCTAGCGTTGAAAAGCGCTTTTCTTGTACTGTACCTGTAAGTCTACATTGTCGGTTTCCTGCATTGAAAAACGACAATTAATGAACAATATGTGAATATTAAGTTCTGTGTTTTACTTAAAAACCACCTAGTGAGACTATTGGGTTGTTAATTAAAGCTTATTGTTGAAGAGGCGATGAAGAAAAATCAAGTTTATGAGTAGCACAAACTGTTTCGTGAAGGCCGTAAAGGCATTGACGATGACCCTCGTAGTGGACGTCCTTCAACGGCAGTCAATGACGTAAACATTAGGCGAGTACGACAAGTTGTGCTTGAAAATCGGAAATTAACAACCGATGAACTTGTACTCGATTAATGTTCATGTCATTGACTGATGTTGAAGGACGTCCACTACGAGGGTCATCGTCGATGCTTTCCCGGCCTTCACGAAACAGTTTGTGCTACTCATAAACTTAACTTTTCTTCATCGCCTCTTCAACAATAAGCTTGAATTAACAACTCAACAGTCTCACTAGGTGTTTTTTTAAAAGTAAAACACAGACCTTATTGTTCGCAAACTGTTCAATGTAGACGTGCAGGTACAGTACACGAAAAACACTCTCCAATGCTAGACTACGGCTCGTCAGCTATACCCCTACTACCGAAATGCCCTCCCCAGGAGTCTTATAAACTATTTTAATGCGAATTCCCCGCTGGCAATCACGCTAAATCTCTAAATAAATTCATTCCGGGAACCTTTTGACTATTACATAAAATAAAAATAATATAGTGGGTGTATTAAAAAAAAACTACGGTTAAGTCATATATTCTATGTTATTAATACGCTACATAAAACTTTGTAACAAAAAGGTTTTTTTGTGTTAAGATTTTACCCCACACATTATATACCAAAATGTTCGGCTAGGTGTGCAGATTTGCAAACTGACCTTACATTTTTGAAAAAATCCCTTGGGCTCTGCCCTAGTGGCTTTTAATGTTTCCATGTTATCCCTATGAAGAACATATTTGTTTACATAATGATTAGCTGGATAGTTTAATTGCTGTTAATTTTTAGTTGCAATTTAATGAAACTTGTGCAAAAAAAATTACTGGGTTGGTTGAAATGAAATATTTACTATTTGAATTTGGGTTGTTGTAAATATTACAATGGAAAAATCGTGATTGCCTAGACAATTTGATATACTAAAAAGAAAACTGAATTAACACTGTGCTGCATTTCTTGAGCAATCATTGAAAGAGCCGATTTACAAATTATGGAATCATAGGAAAGTCATAGAACACCACCAAGTAGAAGAAATAGAAATAATGTTTTTTTTTTTATTTATAATCGTTATTGTGGACAACCTAATGCGGCCATGAGTGGGAAACATTTGTAGTAAACACTAAAAAACAAGATCAGCTTTTGAAAAATGATAAGATATTTACAAGAAATAATGTTTATTATATCGATCTGTTATGTAAATCGTGATTATTTCCATAGCCTTTGAGTCCACTCTTTAAAAGTCATCAGACATTTTTATTGTTATTCGTTTTAAAATGACTCCCGTAATACATCGCGATTGCTCGAATTCGAGCAACAGGTACACTAGTGGTTTATTAATTGGGCGTGGTAGAAAGTTGGGCAAGTAAATAAGTAGTAATGAAGACTAAACAAATCTAAATACTGTACTCACCTCAGGTTTAGCACGATCAGTGCATGTCTGGAAAAGTTGTTATACCATATTAAAGATTATTTATAAAACACATACGACATTGGAAGAATAATAGTAATACTATAACAAAAATGAACAGTTATATCTCTACACACTTGCGCAACTCTACCTGTGTCACATGTTCACTTGTTTATCATTACTGTAATGTCAAGTGTGGAAACAAACCAAAAATACAATATGGAACATTTAACAATTTGTCTGATAATTTATACTAAGAGAAAATGTCATGTGCTGAGCATATTACAATTGAATTGCCCCATACAATGTTGCCTCAAAATTATGCATATCAACTGGGGTCGATTACCCTAAATTTGCGCAACTACGAGAAATTTTTGTAGGCATTTAAAACAAAATTGTAAAATGACATAACTGGGAAATTACCAGCAACGTGTTAATTGTACCAATTTAAAGTTGTGATTATAAACTTGTACATTAAAGCAAAACGTTTGTGCACATTAGTTCTCTGAAATTTGAAAACATGTAGACCTATTATAGATCTCGTTGTTTTGAAAAATCTGTACGTTAAGGAATATAAATGTTATAAAGAAAATCTACTAAAATAATGTACAACATTAAAACATTGATATTTTCCTCTGATTACATAACAATCTAGAAAAACAACATTCTAATTGGTTAACATTCATAAATCTGGAGATGAATCTAGGTTTATTGTAGATGGTACAATTGAATTTAAAATGTTAGCATTGGCTGCTAAAAATTAGAATGATTTAGAAATTATTGTTAAATTTCTACAAAACTGAAACCCAAAATTAAAAGTATTGCTTTAACATTCATTCCTTTACTCGCAAAATTACCTTAGTTTCAATAAGAGATCAAATTAATGAGAATTAACAAAACCCCCGTACGTTTTAATGTAAAGTAATCTTATACTGTATATTAAAACGTCAAGAATATTAAAATCATCTTAATTATTTAAATATCTGGAGATCTCAGTAAGCCTATTATGTTTTCCTGATTACAAAATTATTACGCCACATGGGGATGGAGCACTTGTGGAGGGGGGGTTAGATCACATGACGTTATGACACCCCACTCAGACAAGGGCATTGGCGCACTTCGGAATGAACGTAATAGTCTCATGTTAAATGGCTATGTTAACGAAACTCATTTGTATTTTAGCAAAATGATACTATTAAAACTCACTCTTTTAGAAGCATATACCTTTGGCTATTGAAACGGTATCCAATAGTCAATGCTTATACTATGATTATCGTTACAGGGTAATTTAATACGCAACTGTTTATTGTTTTATATAATTCTGAATAGATTGTTATCTCACAAGTAAAAAACCATATTTATTGTCACAAAAAAGAGTGTATCATTAAATTAATTGAATTAAATTAATGTATTATTAAATTATAAACTCTTTATAATAACAATATCAGTTTTAAATTTTCAACAGATTATACTTGTATTAATAAACTTGTATGTCACCATAAACCATCTATTCTATATATAATTCAGTTTTAAAAATCTTTGTACAACTAAATCTAGAGTTCTACTGGACCGATTTTATTAATTAATGGGTTGTTGGAAAGCTTAAGTCGTGTAGATTTGCAAATAATTATGAAAGTTTGTTTTTGTTATGATTTATGGTGATAAATTAAAGAAAACGTGTTTCCATAAGAAATACATTGAAAACTGTGTTTTTCACACTTTTTATTTGGGCGCTACTTTTAGCTGCCATTTTTTAATATTTCCAAGAAGTGCATGGTATCAATTTGTAGGGAATTTTATTCTCTTTCATAATATCACCACTTTGGTCGATTTCTTCACCATTTAAAAGTTATTTGCAAAAAAGCTATGCAACCTCCGAATTTATAGTAATGAGAAAATATTGAGTTTGGGATATTTTTGTTAAACTTTGTACAACTAAATCTAGACTTCTACTGGACTGATTTTGTTAATTAATGGGTCATTAGAAAGCCTAACCCATGTAGATTTGCAAATAATTATAAAATTTTGATTTGATTAAATATTTGTGGTGAAAAATAAAAAATAACAAAATACATTAAAAACTGGGGTTTTCAAGTTTCTGTTTTCAAGATTCTTTTTGTAGCCAGCTTTTGGCTGCCCTTATTAAGTATTTTCAAGAGTTGCATAGTAGTTATTTGTAGTAAATTTTATTCTCTTTCATAATATCACATTTACTTTGGTCGATTTACCCTCCATTTAAAAGATATTGGCAATAATCTAAGTGATCTCCAAATTTATTGTGGTGAGAAAATACTGAATTAGATATATTTTTGATATTTGTAGGCTATATTTGTAGGGTTTTAGGATACCTTTATTGAGTATAATCAAGAAATTCATAATAGTAATGTGTAGGAAATTTTATTCTCTTTCAAAATATTACCTTCCACTTTGGTCGATTTCCTCACCGTTTCAAAGTTATTTTAAAAACGTTAGCAACCTCCAGGTTTATAGTAGTGAGAAAATACTGAATTAAAGATTTTATCGTTAAACTTTGTACAATTAAATCTACAGTTCTACTGAACCGATTTTATTAATTAATAGGTCATTGGATAGCCTAATTTGTAAAGATTTGTAAATAATTATGAAAGTATTGTTGAGGTTGCAAGCAAGATCGTTTGGCTATAAATCGATGATAAATAAGTCAATTTTTTGAACAATTTGTGTTGGTCGTGATTTAGCTGCGTGTTTTAATGAAATGGAAGCTGGTATTTCAATTAAGGTTCTTAGGTCAAATCAAATAGAATAACGCAATTAGAATTAAGTAAATGTATCTAAAACTAAATTCCATATCCAAGATATAATCAAATTTATATTTTCTGATTGAGCGATACAGTATCTTGAACTTAACTGATTAAAACTATCAATATCTCAAGTGAAAGCCTTTGAAGTATTTTAAGACCAAGACATATAAAATAATTTAAATAAAAATAGAGTTACGTATCATTGATTGCAGATATGTACTAAAACAATTGTATTTATTGTTGATTCGTGATTCAGCAGTGTGCTTTATTTAGGTAGTCCGATCTTAATAATCAATAGCTCAAATTAAAGCTGGTATTTCATTTAAGGTTTTTAGACCAAAATGTATAATGTAATTAGAACTGCTAGAATACATTTTTAATTGAAGAGAAACAAAATTCTTTCGTCGAATAATACATTAGATAAATTAATGATGATGCTTGATGACAAATATGTGCTTGCATAGCTTTATTTTAAGACAAAAATTATGAAAATCGGGCAGGTAGAAGAGCCCTCCTGTAAACCATCGCCCGCCTGCGAAACATCGAACTCGAAAAAAACAAATTTAACTCCCATAAGAAATGTACAGGGAGGCAGTTTGTGCATAACTCGAAATATACGTCAAAATGAATGCCGATGCTTGATGGCAAATCTGCGGCACGGCACGTCCATACCAGTTTAAGGCCAAAATTATGAAAATCGGTCGGGTAGAAGAGCTAACCCGACTCGGAAAAGAAAAACCAATTATTTTTATAGATGGCAATAATTTGGTTTACCAGTATGCATAATCTAATCATACGAAACATGTGTTAATGATTCAACAGTTTATTGTTATATTGTTTCTAATTAATTTTTCTTTGATTAAATGTTGTTGTTCAAAGGTTTATTGCGGACATTTTCCATCACGAATGTAAAAAAACAATACACAACGTTTCGGGATCTGGAATCTGATCCCGTCTTCAGGTGAAAAAAACTTAACTAACACATTACAACTAACAATACACAAACGCCCAACCTAAGTTGGAATACACTACCGAGGGTAGTAGTCAAAAAATATGCACTGTATAGCAGTCAAGTCATGATACAACATGCAATTAATAACAAAACACAAAACACTATAATCTATAAAAGGTTTACGTACAAAAAACTCACACAATGGAACACTAACAACACCGTACGCTATGACTCCACCAATGAGACTGATTGTAAATGTTGTTGTTAACAATTAGCATTTATGTTTAAAGTGTGTTCCTTATGTTAAATGTGTGATTCTAATGTTATGTGCTAAAACTGTACCATTAATATTAGTGAGTAAAGTGGTGTATGGATTTCATAACCATTATTTTACTAGAGACCGTTATATTTAACCACAACGGGCACTGTTGTTAGTTTTAAATCAATCAAAACTAAAACTCGGTTGATGCTATAAAATTAAAAAAAGAATTCCATAAAACCGTATTACTACTTTAAACTTGTAAATATTTGTCACGGTTCCATTTTAGGGTGCACCATTTCCAAATTAATGCCTTAACATGACTCTATACTTTTATTAAACTTACAGGTTTTGGCAACTTACTTCTAATTCAAAGTCAACAGTTTCCTGCAAACAAGAATAAACATATTAGATATTTCGTTAAATTTATGTCTACTAGTCTAAAATATCTAAAATATAAAATACATTGCCACAGCAAACCTGCAGACTAAGCGAATTTCCATTTGCCTGATTTGATTTTCAATTAAATCTATTTCAATAACATTAGGTTTAACGAGTCCCTAGGTTTGCTGCTACAGGGAGGGTAATAAAGTGCGTTTTTCAGTAAAAGATACTATGGAGTGTTGCCTAATAACCAGATTTGATCAAAATTGGACCACAGGTGTATATTCTGTAGCTCTATACACATATAAACATACAGACAAACAAACAAACACACACACACACACACACACACACACACACACACACACACACACACACATGCATAACTTCGAAAACCATTTTTTGGGGTTCAGGGGGGAACATAAATATATAACAGTTTATATTCATTTGAACCGTAGTCGATTTTGGCCTCTGGGGACTTAAATACGAAAAAGTATATCGGTCCCGGGTCTAGGTCTAGGCATAGATTAACGGAGTAGGTGGTCGCTGCAGCGCAGGCCCACTGCCACTCTATCTCACTCTCTGGGAAATGGGGATTGCCGGGATCCCCGTGCTGCACGACGTGGCAACACGGCGAGCTTCAAACCCATTCAACGCTATAAAAGCGACTCTGGTCTGGGTCACGAGACCAACGGTGGTAGATTTTTCCTATGTGGGAGCATTAGCAAAAACCCCGAATGCTTGTAATAGCTTCGTTTACGTATTAATTTCCCTATAACCTAATCAAGATATCTCTAAAAAAGAACTCAACATCATAAATCGCCATATGTAATGGATATAAAAATTCAATATTTGATAAGCTAGAAACAAACATAAAAATAAAAATTACTCAAGGGCGTCAACACTGAGCTAGAAATAGGTATGATTTGAATACAAACTGTACTGAGCAACATCCTGAAATATAATATTTTAAAAAACAATATGAACACTTAATTCAAAACTTCCTAAAAGAAATATTATAAAACTTTCAGATTTAAAATATTCTTCTGTTACGAACACACTTTACTATCAACTTAACTGATACGGGCTCTGTTTATATTTAATATATTTACACACAAAAATAGTTGAACAAAACTTAATATAAAACCAGATCCTCACCTTTGCACCTGGTTCTGCACCTGTCTCCCATACTAGACATGTCTGGAAAAATATTCGTTTTAGGTCTAGTAAAATTTACTTGTCAAGTGAAAAACTAGTTTGCAGTTTTAGCCAATGGCAACTAAGGGGCAACAGTTAATATAGTGTATCTTGTTTAAGTTACAGAGAGCTAAAATAACGAAATTGAATTAAAATCACACTTTCAACTATTTATAAACAATAAATTTAAAAATGTCAAAGACTTGCAAAAAATACTACCGAATATAATGTACCGTAATATTTTTTTATATGCTTACGTCTCTATGCTTTAAAAAGTTAAGAAATATGCTTATTAATTCGTACCATATAATTAGATAACATAGTATATATTTTATAGTATTTTATAGTATTTTAAGTTTTATTCCAGTTTCTGTCTGTTTCATTGTCGTAGTGTCGGTGTCGTACAAGAAGCCAATTTACAAGTCCTAATTAAAAAAAAACTACAATGGAGTGCCGATCAATACTAAACCAATTTTCATTGTTACTGAAATATCTTTGTTTATCTCTTTACTCAACATTTGGACTCAGAATAGCTTATTCATCCTATGAATATTTTCTGAGGTACCGTATATGTTATTAAACCCCCCCCCCCCGTTTGTTGTTTGAATATACAGGCAAAATGTGTATTGATTAGGATACGAGAGTTCGTGAACCACCAACACCACAAACCTATACCAAGAAGAGAAGTAAAAATATGTATATTAAGAAGGTTTTCACATGGCAGACAAAAGCAATGAGAACAAAGAGTAAAAACAACCACTGGATCTTGAAGTTACAGTTTGTCTTGATACGTGAATACTTGGTACTTATTCTATTTTACAAAGCATATCTTAGTTTTATTTTGTAACAAATAATTTAACTCGATTTTTGAGATACATTCGATTTTGTAATAAAATTATTAATGGAAATATAATCATTGGAGTCTGTTAAGATAAATCGAGCAAACTAAAGCATAAGAATGGCTAAACTTACCAGCACGGACATCTCAAAAATAAAAAGGAAGATCTTCATGTTGAAAGCAATGGAGCTGGACTGAATCGTACGCGAATTTATACCATGTAGCATTGGCAGTTTTAGATTTATTACATCCATTAATTACAAGTTAATAATAGACGAGTTAATGAGCGCGGTAATATGTTGGAATGTGTGCTTGCGAAAAAGTATGGCGTTGGCACCAATACCCATATCAGACTTGGCTTAACATGAGTGGAATGAAACCTTTTTGGACGAAAAAACGAATAACTTAGTATATTGAAGTGTTTTTGGTAACAGTTATTAAGTATGGAGAAAAAAAAGAAGTTTAAGATTCCTGTATTATTCTTATGGAAAATAACTGTTGTAGTTTGTTTGTTTATGGATATATGTTGATCAAATTTTGAAAATTTATTTATTTTACCATATCGACTATTGACATTTGGCCGAAAACCCATTTTTAACCTTCCCCATTGCAGAAACCTACGTACTCGTTAAATCGAATGTTATGTAAATACGAAATAAATGGATCTTCTTGATGGAAATATTTTGGCATGAATCCAATTACATAATTGGAATTTGCTAAGTCTGTAGGTTCGCTGCAATGGGAGTGTATATAGTTTATTATATTTTCATAAACAATATCACCTGAACACTCTTTTAGCGAATTTCCCTATAGGGAAGTAGCTATTACCGTAGGTCTCATGGTAAGACTTAGGCCCGGGACCGATTTACTTTTTCATTTTAATGTCCCCAGAGGCCAAAAACACCATTCGTTCAAATTTTTATATATGTATATATATATATATATATATATATATAGGTATATATATAGATTTATATATATATGTGTCCGTGAACACGATAACTTGAGTAATTTTTATCCGATTTTGATGAAATTTGGTTTGAAGGTGTAAGGCGGGATAAACTTGAATGAGTTCGCGATCCAGCATGATCGGACCATGGGAACAGGGTTTTATAGGGGTTTTTATGGGGTAAAAATGGGTTTTTCTCACTTTTTACCCTCAAAACACAAAATTTCCCAATTTTTCTCTAAACCTTCTTAAAGAGCTTAAAAAAACAAACAATTCAGTATATCAAAGTGTTTTTGTACGGTTATTGGTTACGGAGAAAACTAAAAAAATGGTAAATTTAAAATTCCCATGTTATTCTTATGGAGAATATTGTAAAATGTTGAAGTTTGCTTGTTTATGGATATATTTTGATCAAAGTTGGCAAATTTATTTATTTTATAGTAAGCTATCAATATTTTACTAAAAACACACTACTTTATTAGTTTCCTTGTAGCAGCAAACCTAGGTACTCGTTAAACCTAATAATGTTATTTAAATAGATCAATTGAAAATCAATTCGGACAAATGGAAATTCGCTTAGACGGCAGGTTTGCTGCGGCGGGGGTATTTCATTTTCAAACAGTTGTTTGGCCTCCGGATTACTGTATTATAGTACTTAAAATGGTTTGTAGTATCCGCATATAGTAATCCTTTGTTGCTGTTTTGGCAACTAGTGTAGGTTTTTCTGAGCCATTATCATACCTCAAGGTGTCAGATAACAACTTAATTCGAAGTTCGTTAACAGAGTTCAATTAATAAAACATATACGGGACACGATAACATAGAGCGGACACACGATTACAAAAAAACACAAAACACACGATGGGACATTGTCAAAAACTATCGTGACCGGGGTCTTGACTGCGGTCGAGGTGGTCTACGAGACGTCTGTCTCTGTCTACTTAAATCACCGGGGCGTGTTCATTCATTTCTTCGCTCCCCCCAGTATCATGATAGCTGTATCATAAATATAGTTGGATTCGAAGGAAAGTTTATCGCTCAAAACGTTTTGATGGCCAGTTTTAACTGCTTTGAATATTTTAAACTCTTCCAACGTGTTTCTGGTTAAACGGTCCTGTTAGACATTTATTTCGCAATACGATTGATGTATGATTAACTGTGGTTATGTAACACCAAATGTTCTGCAAAATTTGATGTTTATGGAGCTGTTGAAAAAATATCAACATTTGTAATCACAATTTAAAAATGTCGAAACTGTAACACAGATAATGATCCCTCATCACATAAATTGTTCGTACAAACTCATTGCAATTTAGCGTCTTACAATAATAAAAAAATCGCTATTTGTGAGAGAGCGCAATTTACGAACGTGATTACTACAACACAGAACAAGGTGAGTAGTAAAACTCACTGCAAGCGCATCCTAACCCACTTTTGTCTTAAAATTAAATAATTTTATACTTATAGAAAGCCTTGTTCATAAAGAATCGTACTCAGTCCTTAAATGCTAAAACATATTTCACCCCTATTAATCTATTTTAATGTATATATAATTTTTTTTTGAATAGTGCCTTTAGCGTCTGGGGACATCAAAAAGAAAAAAGTAAATCCGTCCCGGCTCTATAGCCATTTTCTTGCCACCTACTGTAATAGCATCTTTCATAAAATTCGCTAAACGAACTATCAACATTAAAGTCACTTAAAACACTATCACTCTATACTCTACAGGGTTTCTTGAAAACCTCTCCCGAAACTCCGTGGTCATCTTCCTTAGGTGAAAACAAACAAAAAATGTAATATAAACATATGCCCTATCTCGCTTCGTTTTCCGTCTGTCGGTGTGTATGTATTTTTTACATAACTTCCCATAACTTTTAAACCAATTAGGGTACCAACTTCAAACTTAGTAAGTGTGTGATGAATAATGGGAACTATTATTTTGCAAAGTATTAAGTTTCTACTTTGTATAACTTTAAAATGGTGTCCATTTATACTCTTCATAGCTTAATAACTAAAAAGCCATAGGATTTTAAAAAATGTTACAAATGACAAAAAGAATGGATATTGAATTCACTTTACAAAAACTGTTTAGGATCTTAGCACAAATAACGGGTAAAATAAATTTTTCTAAAGTTAAAACAAAAAAACTGGGCAAATGTAATAAATTATCAGATAGTACCTATATAAAAATGAAACTATCTCCATTATTTGTGGTATGACCCTATAAACATTTTACATTTCTGTAAAGTGAATTAAATTTTCATTATTTTTTTGTTATTTATAACTTTTTTATAAATCCTATGGTTGTTTGAGTTATTAAGCTTAAAGAAACGGCCGCTATTTCGAAATTATACAAAGTAGCTTTGCGAAAAGAAAAATCCTATCAGTCGTCATACACGTACCAAGTTTAAAGTTGGCACCTCTAGTGGTTCCAAAGTTATGGAAAGTTGTGTATAAAATACATACATACTGACAGACAGTAAAAAAAGTGAGATAGGGCATTTATAAGATATTTTTTGATTGTTTTGACCTAAAGAACATGCCCAAGGAGTTTCGGGGGAGATTTACGAAACACCCAGTATATAATAGCTGTGATTTTTTTTATTAAATGAAAACTAATTTGGCCCTAAAAATGTCGTTATAGTTTTTTTCGTGCCACCTACAGTAATAACGTTTAAAAAGGATTATTTCTTAAACGAAATCAGTGAACGAATTTATAAAAATAAGAAATAGCACACATTCATAGGGTGTGATTAATTATCCGCGATAAAATATATAGGTCATAATCCGTTACGTGCCACAACTCTATTTTTTTAAATTACACTTCTGTAACTTATTGAAACCTTTTCTAGGTAATAAGTAACGTAAAAATACAATTCTGTAAAAAAGGTTTTGATCACACGCTATATACATTTGGAGAAAACACACAAAATAGTAGAATAACTACTGCAAGTTTCATTTCTGTAATTTTATCTCGTAGTTTTTAACATAGCGAACTGTTAGTTTCAAACGTACGAAAGCTACAGTTATTTCAAGTTAATTGCTAACACTTGCACGTTATTAAATGGTGTAGCGCACAACCCAACATTTCTAGCAGATAACCTTTATAATCAAGAATATTTTATGTGATAACACAATAGATAGGTACAGTATATTGAAAATCTTCATTAATCTACAAATCGTATAACAATGTAAAACATTAATATTATAGTTACTCTACATTAAAACATTCTAAATGAAAGCTAACTTTTGACTCCAAACTGTTCAATATAGTACCCGTATTGTATGGTAAAAGTTTACGCCGTTTCGACCTTCAGTTTTAAAATTAGTTGTTTTTTTTTAGTTAAGTATCTCGAAAGCCATGTGGTTTAGCACTAGATACGTTATTTACGAAAGTGATCTACGATAACAGTTTCAAACAAGGATGGTCCTATTTATAATATTGTTTAAGTGTATGGTTATAGAGTTAAAAAGTCCCGGAGCAGTTAAATATTACAAGAAATAATAAAGATAGAGCTACAAATTTTGTAAAAAGTCATTGGACATAACAATTATGTTAATACATTATTCAGTGATACGCCGCCGCCTCGAGGGGACAGCCCACTAGGAGTCAGAAGAAAACCTTTAAGGTAAGCATAGGTTGGTTGATATGCAAATAAAGTTAAAGGTCTTTGATTGTAAAACACATTGCCGCAAACCTGACATTGCCACCGGTGCAAGATTCATGCACCAAGGAATCGTATGGTGCGCTGTACACAAGCGGCCGTTGATTGGTCAGTTTCTTGGAAACAAAAAAGGAGTTAATATATAACTCTTTAAAAAATTTTATTAGATTTGACTTATTAAATATTAAGTTTCTTCCGGAAGTACTCACTGTTAGTAAAATCATTTTAAAACAATATTTTGGATAATGTAAATATTTTGTAAATTTTCACGAGCTTACCTTGTTCATTAGAGTTTTACAAAACTGTTCGAGCTCTCCAAAAATAAATTGTTCATCATAATGTCCGGAAAACAGCCTTTTTAAGTTCTCCAAATCGTCCAAAAAATCATTCTTTTCGAGTAACTTCAAATAGAAAACAAAGAAACATATGGTAAACTTTTCGGCTCGCTAGCCTCAACATTTAATAGTAGGCTACATTATGAAAACAGTGCTAATTACACGATATTATAGGTTATGTTTATAAACAACAGAAATGTTAACATTGATGACGACTTTGTATAACCTCAAATTATGTGTTCTAATTTTGTAACAATTAGAAT